GCTGCATACATGCCTTTTATGATAAAATAACTAAACTAAAATAATATACTATAAATAACTCCTAGATATAAGAAATAAAAATAAAAATCTGAACAAAAACAGATACATTTATAGTCAGAAGAGCCTTGGAGAGCATTAGTTTTTATTTACTGATGATTTCTGAACAGATGCATCCAGCTGACCTTAATAAATCACTTCCAAAGAATTAAATATGAAATCAAAACAGAAACTGAACAGTGAACAGCTTATAATACAGATTTAAATATGTATAAAATTAAGATAAATATTCTTTTTAAGTAGCAAAAACATAGAGGACTGTAAAGAAAGAAAAGGTGCTCTGTCGCCCCCTAAAGGTTAAAGATAGAATTATTCTGTAAGATTTTATTTCTAGCAGCGATTTATCTTAATGTAAAGTTGGAATATTTAGACAATCAACATTAACAAAGTGATTCTGTGAGGAATATCTGAAGTTTTTGTTTAATTAAAATGTCTAAATATCTCAGATGAGTCATAAATTATTCATAAACCTGAATCTCAGCCCCAGTGTGACCAAAATCAGTAAGGAAAATCATCAATATGAACCCTGCTGTCCTGTAATCTCTTATAGAAACACGAATTTTTATATTTTTCTATTCCTAATCACTCTGACAGACATTTATCTGAACACAGCAACAGGTCATGTTATGAACTGCAGAGAAGTTACAACATCTGGACCGTTTCTCTGCTCCTTCTGGAAGGTTCCCGCAGAAACCAACAGTGCTCTGGTTTCCTCACAACAAACAAACATTGTTTTACCAAACAAAGAAAAACTTTAGGAACATCTTAAACGATTCAAACTGAAGGCGTACTGTGAGGCAGCAGGTCCGCTTTTCAAATCTGTGCAAAAACTTGATGATTTGAGACAAACTGAAGACAGTTTTAGTCTGAATCTAGAGAATTGATCCATCTGGAGAGTCTGGGTCAAACAGAAGCTCCAACAAAGTGCTCTCTCTCTCTCCCTGTTTTAGAAAAGAATCTGGATTCTCCCAGGTAATAAATAAAAGGCAGTAGGAACCATCAGAACCATCAGAACCACCAGAACCATCAGAACTGAGCTCCTGTTGGGTCAAACTCAGCTTTAGGTCACGCTGCTTTCATCTGCGCTGACTTCACACACGTCTTCCTCACACACACTCCGAGCCAAACCCAGACCTCCAAAAATCCCTGACACCTGATCTGGACCCAGTAGCCCTCCTGCAGCGGCCATGTTGTTTCCATGGTGACTGCTTCCTGTGGAGGAGGGGCCGCCGTGTTGCTGCGTCAGAGCAGCAGCAGAAACAGAAGCTCCGCCTCCTCTGGTTCCGTCTCCCTGCCCTTCAGGTGCAGACAGGAGGAGGTGGGTGGAGGTGCTAAAATCCGGCCCCTCCTCTCCTCCTCGTCTGCCTGCGTCCCCGCCTCCGTCCTCCCCCGGCCCGCTGCGCCTCTCGCAGTGCGAGCGGTGCCTCATGAAGCTGTCGCGCCACATGAACTTCTTGCCGCAGCTGAGGCAGTCGTAGGGCTTGAGGCCGGTGTGGGTCTTCATGTGCTCCGTCAGGTGGTGCTTCATCTTGAACTTCTTGGAGCAGACGGGGCAGTGGAACGGCCGCAGGTCCAGGTGCATGTTGATGTGGCGGTCCCTCATGCTCTTATGGGTGAAGGTTTTCCCACAGTGACACATGAACACCTTGGTCGTCCCTCCGGAGCCGCCGCCTCCACCTGAAGCGCCGCCGCCGTCCGAACCATCCGCCCCTAACCCGGTCTGCATCTGGACCGCACCGTGCTCCAAACTGGGAGCCTTGAAAGAGGCTCCGCCCATCATTCCCAGCGGAGGAGTAGCGGGATCCAAGGGGAGCCCGGAGGCCTGGCTGTAGAGCAGGATCTGGTTCCCCTGCATGTCCAGAGGGAAGAGCTGAGCCCGGGCCGAGGCTGCAGACTGGACCTGACCCAGCAGAGCCGACACCGCCCGGCTGGTACTCTGGTTCTGACCCGCAGCGTTGTCATGAAGGTGCTGAGCTAACGTCTGTTCGATCAGGCTGCCTTCAAACTTGAGGTAGTCCTCTGATGACTGGCAGTAGTCCACCTGCAAAAACCCGAGTTCAGATTATCGGAAATGGACTAAATCAAAGAAGTATTTTAGAAAACTGAAAACATTTATCAAATAAATGATAAAACATTTAAATTATTTTTATACTATAAAATAAATACTTTTAAATTGCACCATTCTAGATCTTCTGTGGGTTTATTATCATTAAAAAAATTATCATTTTGGTAAAAACTTTCCTGCTATGACCTTTAAACACCAAAACGCTGAAATTGTTGCTCATCATTTATTAACAGCTAAAGTTTAAACTGATTCTAAGGAATCATTGGAGGCAAAGTCTGTTTAGTTTTTATATTAACTTAATTTCCTTTATTTCTGCATTAATGAATTCATCATATTGATGTAGATTCTCAGTCAAACAGGACAAAATACACATTATTGCATAAAAGGAAACTGAACATCATGTGTTCTTCATTAACCCATTAGTCACTTCTATCCCCCCATTAGTGGAGTTGTTCAGATTACAGCTGATAAATCTGCTACTTTTCAGAAAGTTTGGAAAGTATTTTGGATTAAAGGCAAAAATATCTCCATGAAACAAGAGAAGAAGTTCAGTCATCTTTACCTTAGAAGATAGAGAGCAGCTGTAAATAGAAACATTTTTTCAGCCTAGCTAAAGATTCTAAATTAGAGCTAGGTCTGGATTAGGGCTGAAACAATTAATCGGATTAATTGTGATTAATTGATTATTTAAATAATCTTTAACTAATCTAGTAATCGTTAACTTGATTGTAGAAACTCTGAGATATTACTTTTGCTGACAGAGCAGCAATTATACCAAGATTGTAAAAATATTTAAACATTTTGCATTTGAGATTTTTAGAAAAGTCAGTTAATCTGCTCTATCCAGAACTCAAGTGGAAAAGTTTTAGATTTGCCAGGTTCAATTTATATTTAGTAAAAACTGGCTATTCAATTACTATTTGGAAAAATAATCAATAGATGAATCCAGTTGCAAAACAATCATTAGTTTCAGCCCTAGTTTGGACTTTGACTAGGCCATTTGAACACATGAATCTGCAGTTTAAACCTCAGAGGTCGGCTGCTGCTAATAAGGCAGTTCAGCCTTTTAAATCATGTGAGATGAGCAGGGGACAGAGCTAAAAATTACATAACGTTGTTCCTCTAGGACCTGAGTTTGAGAAGAGTCGTCTTAATGTCTGCACCCTCAGACTCCTGTCCTCCTGGACTGGTTTCTCTAGAACAGATTCTGTTGTTCTATAAACTGAGAAGTGATCAGGTTTCTGTATTCAGCTCAGTCCATCTTCACATGGACTCTGATCAGCTTCCCTTCCTGCTGTAAAGCAGCATCCCCGCAGCATGATACTGCCACTTTTATGTTTCAATAATAGTGTGGATCAAAAAGCCTTAAAGGACCAGAGGACTTCCTTCTTCCTGTATCTCCATCATTGCTTTAAGCAAACAGCAAACTGTATTTATCCTGAGATTTAATTACTACACAAACACTTATTTATTAGTCATAAAAGTTTCAATTGTTACACTGGATTTTATTTAGGGCAATTGGATCAAATAAAATTCTGAAAGACCACGCCTCCCCTTCAAGATATTTATTTTTAAAATATAAAATTTTGCAATAGAAAACCAAGGGGTGTGAAAACTCTAAAAAGACAGAGAACCTTCGTGTTCTCCTCACCTGTGAGTCCATGTCGCTCTCCGCTCGGCTCGCCAGCTCAGCCGAAAGGCTCCTGATGTTGGAGATGTTGAAGTTCCCTCTCTCCCTCTCTCGAGTCAGCTCCATCTCCCTCTCATCTTCGTCCTCCTCATCCTCTCCCCCCTCCTCTCCTGACACCACGATCAGGTCGTCGTCCTCCGGACGCTCGGTTTTCACCACCACCCACTGTTTGCGCGGCATGATGCTGGGCTGGCTGTAGGTCGGACGCTTCTGCAGCGTCTCCTCTGAGTCCTCCCCGTCCTGCAGAAGGACGTCTGTTAACTAAAATTAAATAGTTTAATATAAAATTATTTAATAATTAGAGAGAAACGGACCTGATAGGAGGAAACCCCAAAGCTGTCGCTGACACCGACTTCCTGCTCCATCACTGAGCTCCCCTTCTTCCTCCTCCCGCTGCCTCCTCCTCTTCCTCTCTTCCTCTGGTGGTACATCACCTCCTCTTCCTCCTCCTCTGCCTCCTCTTCCTCCTCCTCTATCAGCAGGGCCTCCTCTCCTCCTGACGGCGTGCAGTAGCTGGGGGTGTTGCTGGCTCTGCCTCCATCCAGAGACGCTCCTCCTGCAGCTGCTCCTCCTCCCAGGAAGCTGCCGCCGTCTCTGGGGCTGAAGTAGTTGGTGCTGCTGGGGGATTGGCTCTCGCTCACTGAGGGGCGACTGGAGGGTTGGGGGGCTCGCTGGGGGTCGTTGGGCTCTACCGCCGGGGCTGCCCCTGAGCTTCCAGCTCCATCGTTACCAGAATCTGCATTGCTGCTGCTGCTACACCTGGGATTGGTCGAACTCCCGCCGGTTCCAGCCTGCGCTCCTCCGCCACCTCCTGCCGCGGCCGCTCGGCCCTCCCTCAGCAGCTCGGTGCATTTGTCCACTATGTGCCACATCTGCAGCACGCTGCCCACCGTGAGGTAGTTAACGATGTCGTCACGCAGCATGCGGAGCTGACCGGTGTAGGCGCAGCTCAGGACGCTCTCGAACGCCAGCGGGTCCATCACTGCGGGGATGGAGACCGTCGACATGTTCTTCAGCAGAACCTGGATGAAGGAAGGAAAGGTTACAGGATAAAAACCTCAAAACCTGAATCCCTTCAACCCTCCAGACCACTCAGGTCTTCCAGCTCCAGCCTGCTCTGCAGACCTAGAACCAGATCTAAACATGGAGAAGCAGCATTTAGTTCCTATGCTCCACTTATCTGGAACAAACTTCCAGAAAACTGTAAAAGTGCGGAAAGCCTGAGTTCCTTTAAATCAAGACTAAAAACACATTTGTTTAGGATTGCCTTCCACTGTTCTAGTTAAACAGTTCAACTAAAACATATTTTCTTTAGTCCAACTGTTTTTAATATTCTTTTGTGTTTCTGCATTTTTTACTTTATTTATTTTTTTTTTCCTACTTGCTTTGATTCTGTTTTATCTTCCTGTATTTTAATCATATAAAGCACTTTGCATTGTCTTTGTACTGAATTGTGCTATACAAATAAATTTGCCTTGCCTTGCATAAAGAATTAAGAGGGAACCTCCAGGTACGAAACATAGATAATTAACCACTTTTAAAGTAAAGAGAAATAAAAAGATAAAGAGTCAAAATAATCTTGCTTTTTTATCATTAATTCTTTCCATAAACACTGGAAAAACAATCTAGAAATAAGTAAAAATGTCTTAAATTAAGTTTACCTTTAATTTAAGTAGGTAAGTGAGATAGTTTGCCAATGAATCAGCATTTTTACTCTTAAAATAAGATAATTACATAATATGCACTTGAAATAAGACAATGTAACTGTGTTTTCCTATTTTAAGTGTACATTTTCTTGTTCCATTGGCAAAATGTCTCATTTACCTCCTCAATCCAACATAATTGCACAAATGCACTTATTTTAAAAAGAATTACTTATCTAGATTTCGATTTTTTCCATAAATCTGCTGCTTATTAAATCCTCTCAGAGCTCTACTGGGCCGTATCGCCCACCTGATCGTGGAAGTACGGCGAGGACGCAGCCAGGACGCAGCGGTGGGCCTTGAACACGTGTCCCTGGACATGGATGGACAGATCGCAGAGACTGCCGTCCTCCCTCTGTCGGTTCAGGCTGTCCAGCACTGAGGTCTGAGCGCTGGGGAAGCTCACCTCCACCACTGATCCACCTGAACTGCTGCTGCTTCCCACCTCCATGGCAACCGACTGCATCTGGATGGAAGGGAAACTTTAGGATCATCATACTGCAGTCATTATGTCAGTCATGATTCAAACTAAAACATGAGACAAACAAACAGCTGTGGACAGTAAAATGACTTGGCCATTTAAGGCTTTATATGTGAGAAGGAGGATTTTAAATTCTATCCTGGATTTAACAGGAAGCCAATGAAGAGAAGCCAGGATAGGAGAGATATGATCTCTATTTTTATTTTCATTAGAACTCTGGCTGCAGCATTTTGGATCAGATGAAGGCTTTTACCTACAGCTTGTGGACTTCCTGATAGTAAATAATTACAATAGTCCAGCCTTGAAGTAACAAATGCATGGACTAGTTTCTCAGCATCACCCCCGGACAGGAGATTTCTCATTATTGCAATATTCCACAAACAAAAGAAGTAAATTCTAGAAACCTCTTTGATATGGATTTAAATGACAGGTCCTGATCAAAAACAACACCAAGATTTTTTACTTTATTGTCTGAGCTCAATGTAATCCCATCCAAATGAAGTGACTGACTAATCAGCTTCTTTTTCAGAGACTCTGGTCCAAAGACTATAACTTCTGTCTGCATTCAGACAAAATAAGCATTATGAACATTAATGATTTTATTATTACCACTCTATACTCTCGTAGGGGATACCACAAGGCTAAATCCTTGGTCCTTTTCCTTTCTACCTTCTGTCACTTGATGCTTTTTTTAACATTTGCAATATTTGACCACATTTTTAAGACTACAGCTACAATAATCTAATCCTCTGCAGCAAATCACCAACTGATCAGCCTCTGCCTAATGGCCATGTAAATAAACTTTAGTTTGATGATTAATTAGGCAGAAATAATGTGGTTTAGGTCAGACAGCACCACCAGGATCTCCTCTATTGATTTCTCCAACCTGACATCATATAGGTAAACGGAACAGATTCATCAGGACAGAATGGTGGATGGCTGGAGCACATGATGAAGATGTACAATCAATGACAAGAATTAAACACATAATCTTCCTGCTGCAGGGCAACAGCATGACCCAGTCACCATCATGTGCTCTGCAACTACATGCTTAAATCACTAACACTAAAGGTGTCCAAATCAAATATTAATATCAGTCTGATACTAACCAAAATCTAACATTTGATTATATCCACCTGCATCTAAAATCATGCTGATAAAAACACTCCGCTTATCTTTAAAGTCACAGTGCTTTCATACCTACTGCTGTTGACTATTGTTCTGTTTTATTAATGTAACTTGATCAAACCATTTCTACCATTCTACAGAGAAAAATAAGCAATAAAAGCATGTATGATTCAAACTAATATTGTATCAGGTCTATATCGGTATCGTACAGCCATTTCCTAGAGATTCACAATTATGCCTTATTATGAAATCCTTTAACAAAACAGGGAGAGCTTAAAGGGGTATGAACACATTAACAAACCCACAGAGAAACTACCTCATAGTGGAGGTCTCAGAAATACGTCTATTCTTTAGTAAAAGGACAAATAACCGTGTGGGAAAAAGCACTGACTAATGTATAAATACTACTGACTGAATATTTTCTTTTAATTAATTACAAGTTAAATTGTATTTGTCCAATTGTAAAAATAAGGTTTTGCTTTAAGTGATACAAAAAACTTTCAAAACTGACTTTCAAAAAAAAAGAGAAAATAGGTTCATTTTCATATTTTGCTCATAAAAACAAACTGACTCTGTCTGGTTTTGTTCTAAATTACAATGTCAGACAGAATAACAAAGATTGAACTTATGAGAAGTTCTGCTTAACAGCTGAATTCTTTTTGGCGCTCCTGTATTTACAGCAATTAAAGCAATTAAAGCAGAACCTAAAACAATCAACAGGTACATTTAAAATCTAATAAAAGGGGGAAAGATGGCAAACGTTTTTCAAAACAAACAGGGCTCCAACTGAAAAGCTTCTCTTCCTGCTCTTGATTTTCTCTCTATTCGGCTGAAGCTGCTGTTGTTTTCAATATTTATAGAATTAACAAACCCAGTTTGGAGAAATTATAAACAGATATTTGT